CCCCAAAACCCCAAAACCCCAAAACCCCAAAACCCCTTAAACTTAGAATTTAATTGAAATTTTATAATTTTTAGTGGTTTTCATATTTCAATGTCTGAAGGGCTAGTCGGGCAGAAATGCAATTTTCACAAGCTATTACGATTCAAGATTGTCAAGACAAGAAGTCAGGAGAGAGTACCGTCAACAAAGAGTCGAGAAAGTAAGCTCGAGACTATGTTATAAATTTATTCTCAACCTTCCTGTAGAAAAAGACTCTTTCTCAGAGATCAGAAATCAATTTTTTAGTACTTTTGGAGGTTCTTCAACGGATAACACTCAAAAAAGATTTCCTTATGTGGATAAAAAGGATATTTTTGAGTACCAAAGTGGACTTCAAGCTCATAAAAACTTTCTCAGGATGATCTCGAAGAAACTAAAGTTTAAGAAAAACTCAAGGTAAGTTCCTATTTACATGTTCTAGCTCATCCCCAGTGATGACTGATACAAAGACGAAAGAGAAAGTAGAGCAATTCTTGACTTCAAAGGATCCCAAGCCATCTCAAAATATGCAGAGAGAAGTCAATGCATCTGAGGTGTGTGCATAGCACTAAGTATAGATCTACAAGCAAGAGAATCATAATGAATCTGGTAAGACCAGATTTAAGACTTTCTATAGTAGCAAAGATCAGGAAAAGGCTCCATAAAAAGTACAAGCTTGCCCCACTATTTGCAAATAGTACCTTTTATATTAAAGATGAGTGTCCTATTAAGACTGTTGAAATTAAAAGAAGAATTGAGCCTTATGATTCAGAGGATAATAGTACCAGAGAGCTGTATTTTCACCCTAACTTCTTAGAGGAATCAATACTGTCGATCAAAACATCAGCCCAGAGTCAAATAAAATAGTGTATAGGAAAAGAAAGAAATAACTTGCTACAAGCTAGAGCTAATAATAGGTCTCATTTTAAGAAGCTATCTTCTAAAGGGCATTTTAGGAAGGGATACTCGAGGATGATCTTACCAAACTCTTGAGGTAATTTTAGCACAGTTTCCGACCTTTAATTGGTCCAAATCTTATTTTTTATAGATAAATAAATCATATACCAAAATTTTCAGGTAGCGTTGATGTGTCATTAATAGCTCCTTTGCATCGACAAGAAATAGTGCCCCTTCTACTAGGAGTATTGACCATAGTAATATTGACATAAAAGAAAAGAAAGATATCAGTGCTATACTGCCTGAAGAATGAGTTAATTCACATTTATTGCCAGGTAAACTCATATCCAACCCTTAGAAAACTCAGATGATTGCGACTCCAAATAAAAATCTTTTTATAAAAATCTCAGACCAAGAAAAACAAGAAGACAAATAACCTCAAGTACCATCCTCTACATCACCCTACAGCCCCCATAACTGTTCCATAAGGTTCACATCTCTCCCAGCTTCCAAATCCCCAAAATACTACCAAAATGCCAAAACTCCCCCTTCAAACCCTCCTCACAAGTACTCTCCCTCTAACATTCAGCCTGCAAATCTGTGGCACAAAATCCCATTTTCATCCTTCTAAAAGGTACCTATCCCTTAACCCCTATAGGCCAACTTTTATTCCTATTCTGGGTCTTCATCCAAAGAGTCCTTCACGTCAGACTTTCTGTAGTCTCCAGAAGCCCTTAATGCATATCACAAGGGCGCAGGTCAGGAAGACTCAGAATCCGAATAAGACTCAGTATAAGAAGAGGCCCAAGACAGAGCAGTTCCATTACTTTAATGTTAAGGTTAAGATTAATAAGCATAAGACATTCCATTAATCTTTCCCACTCTGGGGTTTTGGGGTTTTGGGGTTTTGGGGTTTTGGGG